CTGAACCAACTACGGAAATCCCGTTTATTTCTGTTGGCTGTCACTGGATCAGGCATAGACACATGACATTGTTTTGGCCAATGAGATGTGAAGGGAAGTCTACTGGGAAAGTTTTTCTAATACAGGGAGGAAACACTCCTTTGTTTCCTGCCTTGGGGCAGGTGAGGAGAAACCAAAAAATCCTGGTTCCTTGATGATGTCATCAAGCCACTGAATTAACCAGCATGAAACTGATCAAACTTGAGACTTCTTTATTTATTTATTTATTTATTTATTATTGTACTTTAGATGAAGGTTTACAGAACAAACAGTTTCTCATTAAACAGTTAGTACACATATTGATTTATGAAAATGGTTAACAACCCCACGACATTTCAACATTATCCCTTCTCAACCTTGGGTTCCCTATTACCAGCTTTCTTGTTCCCTCCTGTCTTCTAGTCCTTGTCCCTGGACTGTTGTGCCCTATTAGTCTCGTTTTGTTTTATGGGGCTATCTAATCTTCGGCTGAAGGGTGAACCTCGGGAGTGACTTCATTACTGAGCTAAAAGGGTGTCTGAGGGCCATACTCTCAGGGTTTCTCTAGTCTCTGTTAGGCCAGTAAATCTGGTCTTTTTTTGTGAGTTAGAATTTTGTTCTACATTTTTCTCCAGCTCTTTCCAGGACCCTCTGTTGTGATCCCAGTCAGAGCAGTCAGTGTTGGTAGCCGGGCACCATCTAGTTGTACTGGACTCAGTCTGGTGGAGGCCATGGTAGTTGCGGTCCATTAGTCCTTTGGACTAATCTTTCCCTTCTATCTTGTTGTCTTCATTCTCCCTTGCTCCTGAAGGGGTGAGACCAGTGGAGTACCTTAGATGACTGCACCCAGACACTACTCACCAAGGAGTGCTATTTTCTTTATAAACTGTGTTATGCCAATTGAGCTAGATGTTCCTGAGACATGGTCTGCACAGCCCTCCGCCCAGCAATTCGGTCCCTCAGGGAGTTTGGGTGTGTCTATGGACCTTCCATGACCTTTCCTTGTACAACTTGTGCTGGCTTCCCCAGTATTGTGTACTGTCTTACCCTTCACCAATAACTCGAGACTTCTTGACACATGAGGTGGTAACATTTTCTTATTGCTTAAGTAACATCTAGTTGAATTTTTGCTGTGGTTGATGTTACTTGCAGCCAGACGTTCCCTGATAAACACACCTATTTGAAACTTTCATTTCCTTTCTATTGGTTCAATCCTCTGGTAAATTTTACATCTTTCACTTCTGTTGCTTCGCCTCATCAAAAATGGAGGTTAACCTAAGAGACGACAGTGTACGTAGCCAGTCTCCCCATGCATGCCTGTAGGGAAAAATAAAAAAGAAAGAAAACAATTACACAGTGCAATATCTTAATAATTTTGCATCATCACCATGATACAAAAGTATGGGGGAGGGGAACGGGGGCTGAAAATATAAAGGAAGAGAGTGTAGGCAAGCCCAGGGGAAATTAGGTAAACACTTCCGGATTCACAGCAGTGCTGGAATTCACTGGTAATTTCCACAGGAGCCAAGCCTGCCTCTGGAACAATCTAACCGTCTGGCAGGAAGTCAACTAGAACAGGGTCAAAGAATGTGCTGTCCTCATTCCTAAGACTCTGGATCAATCTCAGGGACCCAGACCTGCCCATGAAAAAAGTTGTGAAGTTAGCAAAGACACTCTTCAGTCCCTACCCTCTTACCTTTTCCCTTTCTAATCCTCTTCCTTTTTTATAGCCCTGATCTTTTTCTTCCTATGCCCCCCTTACTCCCCCTTCTACCTCTTCACTCAACAATTCACATCCTGTTTGCCTGATGAGCACAGAAAATACAAAGTCACTTACCTCAGGGCACTTGGATTTTAATAGTGAGTTCTCTGCCTACTCTCACACAGCCACATCCCTTACTGTTCGGTTTATCTTGTTGATGTTCAGTCTCAGTTTAGATGTACCTTCCTTCAGAAAACCCTCCCTGATCCCCAAGTCTACAGCCTGCCCCTCTGATGTGTTCCTGTAGTACTGAAAGCCTTCCTCCCTGAGCACTTGTCATGCTGATTTGTGATTAGTAGACGCTTGGTAAACCAACACCCAGCACACCCCTGATATTTAATAGGGGCTCGGTTTGATGAATGAGTGAAGAATCTGTTCTCATACACTATAGCTCTGCAGAGACCATCATGGTCCTATTTCCCATTGTACCCTTAGCACCCAGCCCAGTTAGGCTATCGTGGGCACATAATAATTATTTGCTAATTAATCGAAAGAGGTCTTCATAAGAAAGGTACTTACATCAATGCTATTGTTCAGTGTCCTGCCATCCGTATCACAAGGGCAAGAAAAATAGCCTAGTGACCTTTAACAGACTATTGGGGATGCCGAGGCAAAGCAAGATGGAGTGTAAGTTCTGGGACTACAGCTGTCCAGAGCAGTGGGGGCTGGCTCCTCTCTTCAACCATAGTTTTAATTTTCTAGGAATTCTTCCCCCTGCCCCCTTCTGACTTCTCATCCTGCCTCTGGACAGGAGCTGCTCATTTAGTCTTGTGTATCTACTTGAACTAAGAAGCACACTCTTCATGAGTATTATTTTATGTTTTATAGTCCAGTCTAATCTTTGTCTGAAGAGTTGGCCTCGGGAATGATTTTAGTTCTGGGTTAACAGAGAGCCCAGGGGCCATATCTTCTGGGATTCCTCTAGTCTCAGTCAGACCATTAAGTTTGGTCTTTTTATGTGAATTTGAGTTCTGCACCACACTTTTCTCCTGCTCCATCAGGGACCCTCTGTTATGTTCCCTGTCAGGGCAGTCATTGGTGGTAGCCGGGCACCATCTAGTTCTTCTGGTCTCAGGCTGATGTGGCCCTTTTCTTTCTTGGGCTAATATTTTCCTTGTGTCTTTGGTGTTCTTCATTCTCCTTTGCTGCAGGTGGGTTGGGACCAATTGACACCTCTTAGGTGGCCACTCATAAGCTTGTAAGACCCCAGATGCCACTCTCCAAAGTGGGATGCAGAACATTTTCTTAATAAACTTTGTTATGCCAATTGACCTAGATGTTCCCTGAAACTATGGTCCCCAGACCCCTGCCTCTTCTACTCTATTCCTCAAAGTGTTTGGCTGTGTTCAGGAAACTTCTTAGCTCTTGGTTTAGTCTAGCTGTGCTGACTTTCCCTGTATTATGTGTTGTTTTCTAGGAATTCTTAACCTGGGGCTCACAGGCAGGGTTTCAGAAGATCGATGAATCCTCTGACACTTTAATCAAACATCCATGCTGGTAAATATATGTGCATTTTTATGTAAGAGGGTCCATGGCTTTCAATGAGTAACAAAAGGAATTGACTCCCAAAAAATCATTGCTCTAGATTTGCACTGTCCAGTAGAGTAGACACTAGTCATATGTGGCTATTTAAGTTTAAATTTAGATTAAATAAAATTAAATTTCTAGTGCCTCAGTTACACTAGCTATATGTCAAGTCCACCACACGTCTGTCAGTCTGTGGTACTGTGGTGGCTTTCATGTTGCTGTGATGCTGGAAGCTATGTCACTGGTATTTCAAGTACCAGCAGGGCTACCCATAGTGGACAGGTTTTAGCCGAGCTTCCAGACTAACTCAGACCAGGAAGAAGGACTTGGCGGTCTATTTCCGAAAAAACTGGCCAGTGAAAACCTTATGAATAGCTGCGGAGCAGTGTGATACTGTGGTGGAAGATGAGCCCCTCAGGTTGGAAGGCACTCAAAATATGACTGGGGAAGAGCTGCCTCCTCAAAGTAGAAGTCGACTTTAATGAAGTAAATGGAGTAAAGCTTTCAGGGCCTTCATTTACTGATGTGGCACAACTAAAAATGAGAAGAAATAGCAGAAGGATATCGTGCTTGGTAGTGTGGAGGGTCAGCGAAAGACAGGGAGATCCTCAACGAGATGGATTCCCACTGTGGCTGTTAACAATGGGCTCAAATGGAGCAATTGCGAAGACGATGCAGGATTGGCAGTGTTTCATTCCGTTGTACATAGGGTTGCTATGAGTCGGAACCCACTCCACAGCACCTAACAACAACAACAAACTATGTCAAGTGCTCAACAGCCACCTGTAGCTAGTGGTTATCCTATTGGACAGTGCAGCTATAGAACATTTTCATCATTGCAAAAACTTCTATAAGACAGAGCTTCTGTATAATGGTAGCATTACTCCAGATTCAATGTACAAACAAGATTTACTTGATTCATAAACTGCTCTTGTAACATGAGTTGCCACTATTTAGAAATCAAAACATAAAAATCTGGAATCCTGATTTCTTTTGGGGAACGGGAGTTATCTGCCAGCTCGGGGCCTGCATTCCTCTTGACAACGGTAGGCTCCAGCGCACAGGGGCTGGTCCCTTTAGATATGCCCTCTGGGGTGGGCCGTTGCCCTTAACTTGCCTATTGTCTGTCATATTGAAGATACCCGCTTGGCCTTTCTCGACATTTGAGTTTGCGACCTCCGTTTCTAGGGAACCTCGCCCACTCTAGTCTCCTTCCAGTCTTTTGTGTTTGTAACCAGACTCCAAGTTTTGGTAAGTGGGTTGAATCTGGTTTAAGAGCATATATTGGGGGTGCGGCCGGGGCTGAGATTTGGGCTGCCACTTGGAAATTGAGGCGGGGCACCACCGCCTTCCTTTCCGTTCAGTTCGCCGGAACTGGAAGAATAGAGAGGGAATTTCATCATGAACATCTGTTGCTTGAGAAAGAACTTCTTCCTCGTCTTCCCTTGAGCCCTCCAGTCGCCAGCCCAGTTTGCCGCGGCCCGCCCCTCGCGAAGAGATCGCGGGGAGGGGCCCGAGTCGAAACCCGAGCCCCGCGCCCACCACCCCTGCTGGCGACGTGGCTCTGCGGCCCGGCCTCCTCCCGCAGCCGGGTGGGCCAATGGGCGCGTGAGCAGGGGCAGCCCGAAGCTTCCCTGCCCGGGTCCGGGGTGCACCCCTCCGCTCTGGCACGGGGCGGGCCCTGGCCGAGGGGTTGGACCATCCCCTCCCCCGCGCCGGCTGCAGCCCCGCCGCCGCCGCGCTCCGAGCCCCCATTCCCGAGCCGCCGCTGTCGCCGTTCGCCCCGCGCTTCTCTCCGGGCCGCCCTCTCCTCTGGACGATGGCGCGCGGCACCCGCAGTCGCCGCTTGGGGTTCGCCCTGGGGCTGCTGCTGGCGCTGGCGCTGGCGCCCCGGGCCCTGCGTGCCAAGCCCACGGTGCGCAAGGAGCGCGTGGTGCGGCCCGACTCGGAGCTGGGCGAGCGGCCGCCCGAGGACAACCAGAGCTTCCAGTACGACCACGAGGCCTTCCTGGGCAAGGACGATTCCAAGACCTTCGATCAGCTCACTCCGAACGAAAGCCAGGAGAGGCTGGGGTGAGGCTGCGGCCCGGGCCGCTCTCTGGGGCGGCGCAGGTGCCCGCGGGGCCACCTGAGCAGGAGCCACGCGGGACGCTCGAGGCAAAGCGAAAGCGAAATCGGGCGCCTGGGTCCGAGGGCGGAGCGGAGCCCGCCGGGCTTGGCGGCCGGGCGCGGGCACAGTTGCCTGCGGTCCCCGGGACCGCTGCGTGGAGATCGCCGGCCAGGGTGGCGAGACCGTGGCAGCAGTAGCGGGAGCTAGGGTGGCGAGGGCCCGCCCCCTCCCCATGGTTGCATCAGAGGGGGAGGGGATAGAGTATACAAAAGAAGAGTTTGTCCAGAGTGGCGTTTTTGTGACATGAGTTCTTCCCCGCCCTTGCAGTTGCTCTCGTTTTCCCCTGTTCCCTGAGAGAGGAGCTTGAAATACTGCTAGAAGATCTCAAGGATGAACATAAATGGATAGAAGATGAAGGGGGCAGGCAGGGAGAGGCTTGATTCCCGGCTGTGTCTCCGGGCCGGGGCCAGAGTGCGCTTGCCTTTTTCGTTCTGTAAATCTGGTGTAGGAATATAAAACTCTGGTTGTTAGGAAGGGAAGAGCAGTTGGGGGTAGGGGTTGGGGGGTAGCGATGGAAACCGGTCCCCTAGTTTCTGTCCCCAGCGGTTATCTACAGAGGGACTTAGTTCTCTGGCAAGTGGTGCTGGGGACAGAAAGCTAGAGGGTGGCTTGTGATTTCACTGTTGAAGGTCGTGAAGCAAACCAGGGAAACAAAATTTTGGTGTTTCTGGGCACCCTGCCAAGGTTCCCGGGTGAGACATGCAGGCACTGTGCAAATGTATCTGGAAACCCTTCTCTAGAGAGATGAGCAGCCAGTCTGGCCCCAGTCAGAGGCCAAGCAGGGGAGGGTCCCCAGCAGTCCTGCCTACTGGGCACCAGGCCTCTCAGAAGCCTGTTCTTGCAGGTGGAGGGTCATCCTGTCCTAATACAAGAAAAAGAACACGGTCATCCCTGTACTGATGGGGGCTACCAAAGATTAGGATGTGAGGCTAAATTTTATCTGTTGTGTAGGTGCACTATCTGCCTGCTCATGATAAAAAGATCTTTGAACTTCAAAGTCACCTCCAAACAATCACCTTTTATTTTACAGAGAAGTACTTTCTCTTCTTGTTCGGGACTTAACAATGGGGACCATTGATGAGTTCAGTCTATTGTATTGCTTTGTGGCACTTGGAGACTGATTTATTCTGGGGCCCTGAGTGGCAGCCATTTGCGGCATTGTCACTGGAGAGGAGGAGGGGCAGAGTTTTCAGAATTTGGATTCGGGAACTCTGGTGTGCATTCCTACACTTCAAGTTTAATGCTTTCCTTACGATCGATAGGCCTAGTGGTGAGAGCAAGTGCTGATGGGGCTTGTCCGGGTTTGATCCTTTTATGAGCACCTTAGTGTCTTTCATTTATTCATGCAACAGGCATTTGAAAGGCTACTGTGTGCCAGGTACCACCCTGGCAGGGACAAAGATGCACCCCATTCTCTAGGCCTCAAAGTGTTTATTTACATAGTCAAATGCGGAGACAGATACACGACCGACACTGTACATGATTGCTGTAATGGTGACATGTGAAAAGTACAGTGAGCACATCAGGGAGAAGGAGCCCTTAGCTTTAGGGTAAAGAGAGGGATGGCAGTTTGGGGGGAGGGGTGTGACACCTGATCAGAGCTTGAAGGATGACTCAGAAGTTGCCAGGTGTACAAGTAGGGGAAGGCATTTCCAAAGAGGGAACAACTTGATTATAAAGGTTTATGAAACCTGTTCTGGGGGATGACAGTTGTTGGGACAGTAAAGGAGCAGGGTGGGAGTGAAGGGGGAACCAAGGACCGAGCAGGAAGGAACTTAGTGAGAAAGAGATTAAGTATTATCCTATACGCGGTTAAAATGTCATTTAATTCTGAAAACCCGTTAGGAAAGTCAGACTGGCAGTAGGGCAGAGAAAGGGCCTAAGGCACGGTTGGGAGATGAGCCGCAGGAGAGAGGCGATGAGGCCCTGGCCAGTTCGGATGGGGAGGAGAGGATGAGTTCAGAGACAAGTGAGAGGTAGAACTGGCGGATCTTGCTCTTGACTCATCGTGGGGGAGATTTGGCAGGGACGAGTTGAGGGTGACATCTGGGTCTCTGGCATTAGACACCGGATGGGTAGTGGATGCATGCTCACCTGTAAGGCAAATCTGGAAGGGGGGGTGGTGGTGCAGGGATGATGGGTCTGGTTTCGGACATGGCTGGGCATAAGAAGCCGCGTCTCTGTCTACATCTCCTACTGTAACCGTTTCCTCCAGGTCTAGACTTGGAAGGGAGGAGCGTGGCCGGATTGGATAACTTTGTCACCAATACCTGACCATATATTCTGAAAATGTGACAGCTCCAAGGCCCCTGGATACAGTATGCCAGAAGGCCAGATTGGATAACTTTGTCACCAATACCTGGCCATATATTCTGAAAACGTGACAGCTCTAAGGCCCCTGGATACAGTATGCCAGAAGGTTGCAGAGCAGGGACCCATAGGTCTCATATGCCACAAACGTGCCACACAGAATCCTAGAAAAAATAGCTGTGACTTGCTACCATTTAAAATTTGGGTGATTTCACATACAGATCCCAATTTCTGGTTTCTCTTCATACCTATGGGCCTTTATTCCCGTGTGGCAGTCATTGTCTGGAATGGGGCAGCCTTGTTTGGCAGCTGAGGCAGGGGATCTCCCAATTGTCAGAGGCTTTGCCTATTTCTCTTACCTGCTGGGTGTTTGTTGAATTTTCCACCCACCCCCAATCAAGATTATCGTCCTTAGCAAGGACTTAACTACTTGTGCCACTGAGATCACACAGATAATAGGGACCAGAGCCAGGACTAGAATCAAGGTGTTCTAATTATAGTGTTTGGCTGTATCTACCTCATAGCTGCCTTTCCCAATATCTCACTCCTGAGATTTTTTTTTTTTTTTGATGGTTAGCATTTTTTTTAATCTTTTTTTTTTTTTGTACTTTAAATGAAGGTTTACATAACAAACTAGTTTCTCATTCAACAGTTAGTACACATATTGTTTTATGATATTGGTTAACAACCCCGTGACATGTCAATACTCTCTCTTCTCGACCTTGGGTTCCCTATTACCTACCAGCTTTCCTGTCCACTCCTGCCTTCTAGTCCTTGTCCCTGGGCTGTTGTGCCCCTTTAGTCTCATTTTGCTTTATGGGCTTGCTTGTCTAATCTTTGGCTGAAAGGTGAACCTCGGGAGTGACTTCATTACCGAGCTAGAAGGGTGTCCGGGGGCCATACTCGCAAGGTTTCTCCAGTCTCTGTCAGGCCAGTAAGTCTGGTCTTTTTTTTTGTGACACACACTCCTCAGATTTTTAAAGAGAGCGGTTAAGATTTATTTATCCTGCCAACAAAAATTTAGCCCTGGTGGTACAGTGGTTAAGAGCTACAGCTGCTAACCAAAAGGTTGGCAGTTCGAATCCATTAGGCATTCCTTGGAAGCCCCATGGAGTAGTTCTACTCTGTCCTGTAGGGTTGCTATGAGTCGGAATCGGCTCAACAGCAATGGGTTTGGGGTTTTTTTGGCACTATATGTCAGGCTGAGCTATGTCCTGCATGTTTAAAACAGATTAGATGCTGTCCTTTCCACAATGAGGGCTGTGCATGTATAGTCTGATGTTGCTATGTCTTTGTTCGTCTGATAATCTGTTCCTCAGTTGGCTTTGGCTAACCAGCGGGCATGTTCACCACTGCCTCCTCAGGATTTGAGCAGTGCTTGGCACATGATGGATGATAGGTGGGTAGATACATAGATATGTAGATAGATATATAGATATATCAAAAGATACATAGATACATAGATAGATGATAGACAGATGCCTGCTGTCGAGGCGACTCTGACTCATGGGGACCCCATGTACAACAGAACAAAACGTTGCCCAGTCCTGCATCATCCTCAGCATCCCTGGCATGTTCGAGTCCATCGTGCAGCCACTGTGCCAGTCCGTCTCACAGAGGGTCTCCCTCCAAACACAGTGTCCTTCTCCAGCGATTGATCCCTCCTGATAACATGTCCAAAGCAAGCAAATTGGACAGTGTTCTGTTGTGATCCATAAGGTTTTCATTGGCTAATTTCAGAAGTAGATTGCCAGGCCTTTCTTCCTAGTCTTTTAGTTTGGAAGCTCCACTGAAACCTGTCCACCCGGGGTGACTCTGCTGGTATTTGAAATACCAGTGGCATCACTTCCATCATCACAGCAACACACAGAATGACAAATTGGCAGATGAGAGGTGGAGGCACATAGTAGGTGGGCACAGTACTGCACACTGTTAAAAAATCCTGCATTATCTGGCTGTGATTTCCTGGAGAGAAGCCTGAAGTGCTCAAGGTTTAATCTTTTAGTCTTGAGACCTGTTAACACGGTATATGAAGGTACACTGTAAAGCTGTTGGCAACATTTACACCGTCCTGAAAAGAAGGAGTCTGGGCTCCCCAGGTTCAGGTAGGAGATGAGAAGACTGAAGGAGGCAGAAAATGGGGGCAGTGGTTCCCAATCTATTTACCACCCAGGAGGTATTTGATTATTTACTCCACCCCTGGGTCCCCCCACCCGCCAAAAAAAAAAACCACAGTAAAAGGTGATTTTGTTCATTAGTTTGTATTTATTCAGTGGTAATGAATTTGATTCTCATTTTTAATTAGTCAAAGATTACCTGTCAATCAGAACTTCATTCACGGTAAGAAAGTTTACCACTGAGTTAACAGAATTCCAGCACAAAGCAAACAAACAATGCCATAATTAGCATGTATAGCTTCATCACAGGTAAATGGACTGCTCGGGTGAAACTTTTTTAAATCTTGGAAGTAGCTTGTGGTTGTCTATAAAGTTCTGTAGAGGGATGATGTCCCTAGCTTGGGACCCTTTGGTCTAGAGATGGGGAATGATGAGTTCCTAGCCTGCAGTTTGCTCTGAATTGGGCTGTGGGTCAGCTCTGTGTACCCCGGTGGGAAGGTGCTGGAAGCTTGGCCAGCTGTGGAGCAAGAGACAACAGTGGACAGAGGGGTCTCTACCCTAAGAGCAGGGGGTTGGGGCTCCTGCAGCTGCTCAGCTGGTGGGATTTCTTGAATACTTGAATACACATTTTTTATGCAAATTAATGCAGTTTTTTTTGCCAACCGCACCCTCCCCATGATATATTTTCATAAGTGCGCTATGCTAACTTTTTTTTTTTTTTTAAACAGCAGATGCTTACAAAATACCTTGCAGGGGGAGGGTGCGGCTGGCAAAAAAAGGTAGAATGTGCACGTTATTTACGTAAAAATTTGGTAGGTTCCATGATGTCATCCCCCACATTGTATACTCTCTCCAACAAGATCAGATCTTTAAGATTCAAGTCTTTTGAGTCCAAGGTGGTGGTATTTTAAAAACAAACAAGTAAAGAACTCATGTATCTTTTGGTTTATACAGGTGTCCCTGGGTTACTAACTTAAGACTTAAGGGTAACTGGTACTTGCCCTTTAATGTTATGTAAATTTGCCCTTCCTTTGAAACAATTGAACCAACCTTACTCGCAATAAATTCTTCATCTAAATCACCTTCATTTGCTGTATGTGCAGCTTTTAAATCATTGAAAAGGCTTTGAGCTTTTTCTTGCTCTAAAGTAAGGCTAAATAAGAACCATATGCACCTGTTCCAACTTACGTACAGATTTGACTTAAAGACAGTTAGGAACAGATCTCATTCATAACCCCGGGGACTGCTTGCATAGCAGTGGCTTTTTTTGCATTGGACATTGAGCCAGCATACGGGTTCTCACCCAGGTTGTACTAAATACCAGCTGTGCAATCTTGGAAAAGCAATCTTAATTTCTCTGGGCCTCAGTTTCCACTAGACTGAAATGAAGGAATTAGACTACATCAGGGAAGGCTAATAGGTTTCACTGTATATATCAGCTGTAATCAACAGGTAGTGTCCATCCCCAGAGCACTGTGTTGAGAAGGATTTTGAGGCCCCATTCAGGTTTATCAGGGTGGGGGCGGGGGGCATCAGCAGTGTGTGCTGTAGAAGCACGGGTTGTGGGGAAGGCATATCATCCTTGGAAATGATAAACTTTAAGATGTTTTCTAGTGCCATTAGGTAATTGATTCCATTTTAATTGTTTGTGCATTTTAGATTCTGCAGGTGTTTGATCTTTTGCCGGACCAGGGTCACACAGCCTTGATAATAGCCTTGTGTTTATTTTTAAACTATAGGAAGATTGTTGATCGAATAGACAATGATGGGGATGGCTTTGTCACCACGGAGGAGCTGAAAACCTGGATCAAACGGGTGCAGAAAAGATACATCTATGATAATGTAGCTAAAGTCTGGAAGGATTACGATCGGGACAAAGACCATAAAATTTCCTGGGAAGAATACAAACAAGCCACGTATGGTTACTACCTAGGTAGGTGGTGCTGCAGGAGTGATTACACAGCTGGGGCCGGGTAACAAGCTTCTTGCAGAAGACGCTCTACTTTCTCATCATAGCCACTCCCTTCGGGGAGATGTCACAACCTCCTAAATAGAACCTGCTTGTGTAACATCCTCCTCTGCTCACTGAGAATGTACTGTTTGCTTCTGAGTGAAGTCCTAGGTGGTGGGTTGGGAGTGGGGGCAGTCAAGGGACTAATAAAAGATGCCTTAGACTTGATCACTGCCCTTCTTGAGCTTATGGTCTCAGAGGCACACACAGAGAACAAAGCAGAAAGGAAACACTTTGTGATACAATTTCAAAATGCTGCATAGTTTCAGATAGCAGGAATTGAGGGGGCTGGAGCAGTCAGAGAAGGCTTCCTAGTAGAGGGCGGTTTGGGAGCTGGGCCTTGAAAAACGGATTTATGTTTGGAAAGAAAGAGACAAGTAGGAAAGGCGGGCTGTTGGCAGGGCAGAGGCGCAGCAGTACACTCAGTAATGGGCAGAGTTTGGATATAAGCCAAACCAGATTAGGAGATGATGGGAGGGTGTGGGGCAAAGAGGCGCAGAATACAGACCTGCTAGGTACATGGTAGAGATGGCGAGGAGACAGGCCTGAGGAGAACCAAACACGCATACACCACACATACGGCTGGGCTAAGCGAGATCTTGAAAGCCAGGCAGAGGCATTTAGACAAGGGCTGTGGGTACTAGGGAGCCTCTGTATGTTCCGGATCAAGGAATGACATGATGAGAGCAGAATTTTGGAAAGAGAAGCATGGCATTAGCATTGTCTAAAGCCTGTGCACTTAACCACTTGCTCTAATGTCCCTAATAAGCCACTAGGGCCTGGATTATGGGATGGCATGAGGGGACAGATACTGAGGCATTCTGAAATAAAATGTTTCAAAGAACTCAGTATGTCAGGGCCTTTTGTCCCGTGTCTACCACATGGGCGTGAAGGATGCATAATTTGGAAGGAAATGCCTTCCTTGGCAGCAATTTAAACTTGTTTGCATCCTGCAGGAAACCCTGCAGAGTTTCAGGATAGTTCAGATCATCACACCTTCAAGAAGATGCTGCCACGTGATGAGAGAAGGTTCAAGGCCGCAGACCTCGATGGTGACCAGACAGCCACTCGAGAGGAGTTCACAGCCTTTCTGCATCCTGAGGAGTTTGAGCACATGAAGGAAATTGTGGTTTTGGTAAGATAGATGAAGAGCCTGGGTTGGGACAGGGCCGGGAAGAAAGCCGCACCAAAATCTTGTTCCTTCTTTCGAAGAAAGGATGTTTTTCAGCCTGAGGAGAATTGGAGGGCTCTGAAATAGAATGCATTGGCATACCTGTTTATCCAGTAAATTGGTCGGGGCAGGCTAGCTACTGTAACAGATAGTCCCCAGTCTTAACCATCTAACACAATAAAAGCTTATTTTTTGCTTATTCATAGTTCAATGCAGATGTTCCCAGTCAGGTGGATCTCTTGGGCAGTTCTCCTCTCAGTGCTAATTCAGGTACCCAGGCTACTTACGTCACGTGCTTTGCCATCTTGTGGCTTCAAGGTCATCCTGGCAACAACCATCTGACAAAAGGAAAGAGAGGGAATAAGAAGAAGGTGCAGTCTGTCCTAACTATTCTGGCCAGGAGATGAGATATCCATTCCATTTACATTCCACTGGCCCCACCTAGATATGAGGAGGGTGGGAAATATGGTTTGGATATGTGCATGGGAAGAGCATAGGGGTTTAGTGAGCAACTAGCTAGTCTCTCCTCCATTTTTTAGTTTTAAGAGAACTAGAAAAAGACTGAAATGGAATGCACTGGATTGTTAAAACCATATGGAAGCTTAAAACAAAAACTATAGCTGGAAAGGATGCTGCCCTTCAGGCTGGGTCTTTGGAGGGTGAATAATGGATCAAACTCTAGGCTTTGAGAGATGGCACTGCTTCAAAGGCCCTCTGAGTGCAGTTGTTTTCCATACTGTCTTGTTGGGTCCCAAATGTCTTCGTTTTCCACAACAGTAAAATCAGTGCCATTGCTTGCTTCCTAGGCAGATACCCCAAGCCAGTTCCAACTGCTTCAGTGCTGGAAACAGCTGGCTAAAGCTTTGTTTGTTGTCAGCTCTGGACTATTTCAGTTGTCTGGTTGGTGGATGGGTCTACTCTTGCCTCATCCTTCATGCTCATGACCAACATGACCCCAGGGACTGGGGAGTGGCTCCAGGAGTAAGTTCTGCTTACCACCCAACATCCATGTAGTGGTAGCTACTTTGGTAGAGGAGGATGACGATGGGGTATTATCCACAAGTAGATTAGGTGCCTTCTGAATCAGCCACTGCTCTTGGGTTGACCCAGAATGCCTTTGAGTTCCTGTGACAATGGACAGTAAACTCATTTAATTACTGACTCTAGCAAAAAACCTAATTAAGAAGTCAAATGTACTAAATAGAGAGCATCATACCTTCAAAAGTCAGATGAACTTTCATTTTGTAATCGTCCACTGTTTCATAATTTTCTGACACCAACTCAGTGTTCATAGTCCTAGCATGTTAGCACTGGACTGGATTTTTTGTGATCATCTCATCTAGTGGTTCTCAAGCTGAGTTCCTCGGCAGGTTCCCCAGGGGTTGTTTTGGCTGGACGGTGGAGATGGTTGGCCTGGCAGGGCTTTCCGATATGACCAGAGCAACTCTGGGCTTATGAGTACATTTTCATTTAAAGAGAGAGTTCTGTTGTTAAAGTTGCGGGGTGGAGGACTAGTCACCAAAACCACTGCCTATTTTTTACAGATAACAAATGCCCAGGAAGATAAAGAGACAAACCAGAAATCATCCAGCTTTCAGCCGTAAAAGGAAGACAGTAGTTAGAATTCTCAGATTCCCTCAGGGCACATGGCCTTCTTGCATTGTGTTTTCTCCTTTCCTTCCTAGGAAACTCTGGAGGACATCGACAAGAATGGGGATGGGTTCGTGGATCAGGATGAGTATATTGGTGAGTCCTGGTCTGTCCAACCGGGCAGCATACCTCCACCCACGTGTCTGGCTACTTTCCCCCAGATGTCTCTTTTAGCAACAGCTGCAAGTCCATAGGTCTCACTCCTGTGGTCTCCCAGTGGGGAGAGCCTTCCAGCCTGATTTGTCATGCCAGCCCTAGTGGTGCAGTATCAGGGAGGCACTATTAGACCTCAGTGGAGAAGAGATGAAAAGCCTGGCCCTACCACTAGGTTAGCCAACAGTGGCCCCAGGGCTCTGATAGGTGCCTTTCATCATCTTGCCCAGTTGTGCCTTTGTAAAATGGGATTGGAGATCCTGTAAGTTTACAGTAACGCTAGAGCAGACAGTCTCAGGGGGAGCAGACAGTCTCAGGGGAAAGACTCTAAAAAGAATGTGGGTCAGCAGTGCCTGGAAGCTCTGAATAGATGCAGCTGTGATCAAGGGAACTGTTTATACGCCCCAGTGGAGCTCTCTGCAGAAAGGAATTCCTTCTTAGAGAGGTAAATCCTTTTGCAAAGTGCACAGTAATACAGCCATTTGTAACTCAGGTTTTTGGATCCTTTGGTTGGGAGTACTGTGCCTGGCATTTTGTCCTGAAGGTCTCCATTTAAGCAACATTAAGGAATTATGTTTTCAAGGATGTAAGCACTGGCGGAATGAGACTCAAATTAACACACTTTCGTTGGAACTTACCGTTCCTGATTCTGGCCCTCCCCAGCAGCTCAGTAGCCCTCCAAGCATAAAGGCCTAGAGCAGGCAACAAGGAAATTTCCATTTGATCTTCATCAGCTGCTACTTCAGTGCTTTGCCACATGGCTCCAACTGCAGGCTGCCTTCTCACAACAGCTCTTCTTTTCCTAAGTCTCCATAAAGTTGTTCTTGTTGTTAGTTGCTGTCGAGTTGACTGTGACCCATGGCACCCTTATGTAAAACAGATTGAAACATTGCCCAGTGCTGCGCCATCATTCATGACTGGTATATTTGAGACCATTGTTTTGGTGACTGAGTCAATCCATCTCATTCAGGGTCTCCCTTGCCTTCACTGACCCTCTACTTCACCAAACATGATGTCCTTTTCTAGAGATTGGCCTCACCATCCTTGCTTCTAAAGAGCATTCTGGTTGTATTTCTTCTAAGACTAATTTGTTTGTTCTTCTGGCAGTCCACGGTATATTCAATATTCTTTGCCAGCACCACAGTAAAAGCTGAAAAAATGATTTGGGTGTTAACCTAGAAAGAGAGATGGGATATACATAATTTTTGTACACATTTAACAGAGACAATTACTTACTTTTAAATGTAAAACCAGAGCCCAAGCTCCCAATCCATGTCTGGTTCTGTGATTGTATTATCTTGCCACCCGTACACAAAAACAAGGGCCTTTAGTAATGAAGAGCCAAGTTTCTTCTAATCATTAGAAATTATGTTTGATCCTAAGACCCCAACGCTGTTCCCTGTCTGCCTGTGATAACAGACAGGTAACTCTCTACAGTAATTAAAGTGCTCTTGGTGGCACTACCTTTGTAGAATAACAAATACTGACAGCTCCCTTGTCAGTGCAAGCGGCGAGAGCCTTCCTGTCGCCTGGTACATGTGAGAGGGAAGCGTTCAGAGCCTCGGATGTCTCACCTTGACAGTGGTGACGGGATGAAGACCAACAGAAAAAGCTGACTGACTGAAAGAAACAGTGAAGCACTTTTGATTAAAACTGTGCTCTTCGCGGCCCTCCTGAACTCTGCATTGAAACGATGCAAAGTCAAGGGCACAACTCTTTGTGTGGCTTTGCCAGAAAGCAGCATTCCATTGCTGACACTGGACAAAGGAAGAGGTGGGGGCATGGCGCTTGACAGTCTAATTCTGAGCAGGTTATAGTCAGAGAGAGCTAATGTATCGACTTGTCTAGCAAGTGAGTTTTCATTTATGCAGGTGCCTTCTCAGGTGGGGACGGATGGAATACTGGAAGTAGTGTGGTGTAGTGGGGAGGGCATAGGAATTAGGAGTCCTCGCTTCTTTGCCTACTAGCTGTGCGATCCTGGAAGAGTCAGATAACCTTTCTAAGCCTCAGTGTGTTCATCTGTAAAATGGAGATAATAACACCTATGCTTGAAGGATCAGATGAGGGTTGAAGTAGCTATATATGTAACACTCTTTCTCAAAGTGCAAAACACTGCAAATCTCAGGTGTGGGTATACCTGCTGGCTGAATCAAGGGTCTTGCCTCTTTCTCCTTCATTTACTCCCTACTTCCTCTGCCACCAGACATTTTCAGCTGTGCTTCCATTAAAGAGAAACTGCCCACAGGGTATCTCTCTTGAAGAAGCAAACAAAGGATAAACATTGCCGCCTTTTTCCTTTCTCTGCCATTCTGGAAATGGTATAAGCAACAGTAGTAATAAGCACAGTGGTTAAGACTATGGGATGGAAGCAGAGTGCCCATGTTCTTATGCAGGCTAGAGCTCATATTAGCTGTGGGTCCTTGGGTAAGTCTATGCCTCAGTGTTTTTATCCATAAAGTGGGAATAATAACAGCACCTACTCCATAGGGATGTTGTGAAAAGCATATGAAAAATTACCGTAAAGCACCTTGTACAGTCTCTGTACCACAGAAAGTGGTCAGTGTTGGTTATTATTGGCTTTAACCTACACAGTGCCATTTGGTTTTAGAAAGGTTTCACGGTAAGTGTCCCATATGATTTTTATAGTAACCCTGGGATTGATAAATTATTATCTCCATTTTATAGATGAGGAAACTTAAGGCTTAGTTACTGACCTATGTAACTTAATCACAACTGCTGAACAAAGTCAAGAGAGGATTCATCTGCCGGCTCCTACGCTCAGTTCTTCCTATTCTACCAAGAGGCCTTCATAGTGGATAAATCATGGCATTATTCCACTACCTGTTTAGGTTAGGTCTCTTGACTGGTTGCCACCCTTCCAAAACCCCAAGGGGTCAAGTTTTCTCTGCCTTTTACCTTCCCACTTGTCTTTGTAACCAGAGAATAACCTTCCCTTCCAGCTGATATGTTTTCCCATGAGGACAATAGCCCAGAGCCAGACTGGGTTTTGTCAGAACGGGAGCAGTTTAATGAATTCCGAGATCTGAATAAGGACGGCAAGTTGGACAAAGATGAGATTCGCCATTGGATCCTCCCTCAAGATTATGACCATGCGCAGGCCGAGGCCAGGCACTTGGTGTATGAGTCGGACAAAAACAAGGTATTTGGCATTCTTCTGGAATCGTTGGTTGAAGGGAGGCAGTTTACATAAGATTAGTTTTGTTTGCTTCTTTGCTGATAGCATTGGCCTGCCTGACCCTGTCCTTATTGACTTTCCTCATTCTTGCTTTATAGAAGAAACCTGTAAACTTGACCCAATGATAACCCACAGTGAGCTCATTAGGCCCAGACCTTCCCTGATAGTCCGCTATGAGCCGCAAGACTTACATTAAGTCACACATCCTAGGATTGCAGAACCAGTAACTTTGTTTGATGTGGGCAAGGATGTGGATTTAAGAAGTATACCTTGTGTTGCCCTAGTATGAGCTTATTCATCCATTGGTTCAGCCAGTGGATATTTATCAAACACCTGTGATATATTAGGCATGTGGAAGCCCACTGCATTAAAGCCCACATATCCTTGGGCAAGCTCACACTGTGTTGGATGTGTTTTCTAGGCAGGCTTATTTCCGAGTAAGTCCAGGCCTGGATTTGCTTCCAATAGGTCACAGCCTTGAAAACTCTGTGTAGCAGTTCTACTCTGCCCACATGGAGTTGCCATGAATCAGAGTTGACTCAATGGCAACTAACAACACCAAATGTTTCAGATTCTTCTGGAAAGATGCCTAGCTCTTCAATATTTATTGATAAACATCAAAAAAATTATAAGATTTAGAAAGAAGTCCTGCCTCTTCCTACTTTGATCACCACTCCAAATTCTCAGGATAGACAGTCAAGTTATCCAGTTAGGCCATAAAAGGGAAGTGTAATTCTCTGGTCATGTTTTGGGAATGCCAGCGCTACTTTTAGACATAAATGGATCGTACTTCTGAATTATTCAAGGACTGAACTGATGCATTTTAGCACATCTTTTATAACAGGAGGCTGTTCTAGTTTGGGGTTTTGAAGGGCACATAATGGTAGAAGAGGGCTGTACCTAGCAGTTTCTTTGTTGTTAAATGTAGTGCTTAAAATGTTGCAAATCAGTGAAATAACATGAACTTCATGCTGAACTATTACTCATAGTTACAAGAGGTTCTATTACAGACCTCTTCCCTCTCTCCTACAGGATGAGAAGCTAACGAAAGAGGAGATATTGGAGAACTGGAACATGTTTGTTGGAAGCCAAGCTACCAATTATGGGGAAGATCTCACAAAAAATCATGATGAACTTTGATACACACTCATCGTAGCATGGCAGACTGTTGTAGGCTTTCTCACTGTCTTGAATGGTTGCTGCGATTGTCTAATTTACACCAGTTGTGTCTCCAAAAAAACAATATTATTACCTCAGATCGGGGTAAAAATTGTTTTTCTCTCAATATTTACTGGAAAATAGTCATCACTATTCTTTCAGTTTAAGATTTCTCTCAAAATACATTAAAATCTTGGTAAATTGCAGTTCTCCATGGGGATACATTGCTGAAATATGACTTCTTCAGTTTATTTCCATTAAGTTTAAACTATAAGGAACTAGAACTTGAAAAAGCCCATTATTCAGAAGCTTGGGTGGGTGGGTGGGACATTATATGGAATGACTGATAACGTATTTTAATTGACAATGTTTTCTACATTTGCCGCTGTTAAATAGTTTGTGAGAGAAAATTCTGGTTTTCTAGGTAGGTTTATTTCACAGCAAGTCTGGTATTTCAGATTCTTCCATTTTTGAGTTTGTACTCTGAGCTGTTACTATAAATGGCATATAAAACTTCTGTGCATTTTCCCATAGGGACCTGCTAATGTGCACAATGAACCCACTTCTTTGTTTTTTGTTTTTTGTTTTTTACAATGAGAAGCAATCAAGAAAGATAATGTGAAAAAGAAATGAATTTTAGAGGTAGAGAAAAGATGAATGTCAGACATTTGAAGAACCATAGGAAAATGGTAAACACTTTATACTTGAGAAAATTTTCTTGACATATCAGTGAGGGAGCTGGAGATCTGGTCTTTGGTCACCTATTGGAATGAGACTTTGGGGCAGTCGGGGAATGGAAGGCTTGTGGAGTGCTGGAACATGGCCCATCCTGGTCTTGGGGAATCTACAACCCTCAGACCTGCGCCCAGGACAGCTTACATTGTGGAATAAGGACAAGGTGATGTTCCAAGCCAATGACTGGTAGAAATTCCACCTTTTAAGTAGGAGGTGAATGAAATAAAGGATCCCACTGAGCATTTTCTGTGTGCTGTGGTGTTTGACTTCTCATATACTATTTGTGGCATGATTATTCCTATAGAATTAAACATGAGGATGGGATTACATGAGTAAGATAATAAAGGTTTTGCTTTTAAAGACCAGTTACTAAACTGTTCAATAAACCCATTTTAACTGAATAAATATATATGTACTTCTTTCCTTCTCTGTGCTAGTTAGGGAATCAGCAGGTTATTTTAACTGTAAGATCTTTTTGAGACAGGTTTCAGGCGGAAGACAGTCCAGACTTCTCACCAGGGCCTACCAGCCCCTACAGGATCTGGTCCCAACCTGCCTTGTCAACACTATCTCCTGCCTGTTCTCTCTTACCTCCCATACTCCAACTCCACTGACTTGCTTTCTGATCCTCAAACATACTATCTTAGTTTGCTAGTGCTGCTGCTGCTGCTGCAAAAGAAAAAACAAAAATCCCACAAGCGGGTGCTTTAACAAACAAGTTTATTTTCCCACAGTTCAGGAGGCTAGAAGTCCAGATTCAGGGACTGGCTCTAGGGGGACGGCCCTCTCTATTTCAGCTTCTAGTAGCAGCCAATAACCCTTGGCATTTTGTAGATGCATTTGCCCTGGGTGTCCGTCTTCACATGGTGTCTTCTGCCTGTGTATGTGCTTCTGTACCTATTCTGTTCTTTTTATAAGATACCATTCAGTTCAGATACGATTAGGTTTAGGACCCACCCTACTCTGGTATTATTTCATTGACATAACAAAAGATAACCTCTGTTTCCAAACAGGGTCATATTTACAGGTATAAGGGCTAAGACCTCAGCATACATTTTTGGGAAACAATTTAATCCATGACACTGAGTCCATTCCTAGGTTGGACCCTTTGTAGTTGCTGTCCCCTTGGACTCAGAACATCAATCTCTCCACATCCTCAGAAGCCAGGTAACTTAAATATTATCTCTAGACTCCACTATTTAAAGCAGTCCCTATTCCAGTCCCTATCTTAGTTCCCTATTTTATTTTCTTGGTACATACTGCCATTTGTAGTTTATTTCCTAGGGGTACCATAACAAATTACCATGAAGTGGGTAACTTACAGCAGATACTGATTCACAGTTCTTAGGGGCCATAAGGCTGAAATCAACATACCAGCAGGACCACGCTCCCTTGCCTCTTCAGCCTCTGGTGGCTCCAGGCACTCCTTGGCTTGTGACTTCCTAACTCTAATCCTCCATCTTCACATGGCTTCCTCCTTTCTGTGTGTCTCTCCTTTGTGTTTCTCTTACAAGGAAACTGTCATTGGATTTAGCGTCTACCTGGTTAATACAGGATGATCTCATCTCAAGATGCTTAATCATCTGCAAAGACCCTTCTTCCAAATAAGGTTGCATTCATAGGTTCTGGGGGTTTAGGATGTGAACACATCATTTTGGGGGATCAGCATTGAGCCCACTATACCATTTGATGTTTCCTGTTTTGTACATTGCTTGTCTCCTCCTGCTAGAACATAAGCTCCATGAAAGCAGGAGCCTGGTCTGTCTGATTTACTACAATTTCCCAGTAGAAAAGTAGAATCTAGCATGTAATAAGCACTTGGAAATTCATTTGCTAAATGAATGAAAGGTTGGTAGCTTTAACTGAAGCTCTTCCGGGGTGGGGGCAGTCTGTGGAAAAATATCTAACTAGCTGGTATTTGCTGAAAGGGAAGTTAAGTAATTTGCCCCAGATTCCACAGTAATTCAGTGGAAGGGCCAGAATTCAAACCCAGGTGTGCCTAGCTCTATAATCTCCGCTGGCTGGCACTCCATTTTCCTGCTCCAAATCTCTGAATCTGATACCAGTTCTTTTTATTTCTTTGTTCTCCCACAGTATATGATTATGTGGTCAGGAAATGAGAACGGCTCCTTTTACCTAGAATTAGACTGACACCTATGTTTAAAAAAATGAGAATATTGTGTAACCTAATCATAAGCATAACACTTTTAAAAGGTGCTAATGTGATTTTCCCCCCAAATGGGAGTGCTAGTTGACGTATTAATTTGTACACAGTAAGATGTTAAATATATTTTGAGCACAAAGTTTTTCTTTTCAAGTCAGTGCACATAAGAAGAGTAATCCTCAAAGAGAGGAGACCTCCTGGGGTTGAATTTAACACTATTTAAGGAAAGGAAACCTTTGCTAGGGGACATAACTGTTAACATGGAGATTTGTAAAGCCTTAGATTTCTAATAGGCTCTGACTGTTTCAAGGAAAACATATTTTGTTTCTAGGTAACATTTCAAGTCTGATTATGAACAAATGCTACAAAATTGATCTGTAATGGGAAATACTGTCATGTCACAAAGCATTATTTATATGATTAATGTGACTGAAAGCATTAATTGCTAGGAGCCATAATCTGTCCAAGCAAAACATGAACACACATTTTGTACCTCTTGTTTCTTACTGTAGGTTTTCATAAAGCGTTCGAGTATAACAAAACTGTAGCTAGAAAATCTGCAATACCTGAAGGTGTTATTTCACCTGCTTGGGTTATTGTAGCTGTTCCCTTGTTAGCAAAGTCCTGAGTCACATCTCCTCAGAAGTGCCCAGCAATCAGTAGCTACATGGCTATGCCTTAGCAGCTCAGCTGAAACATCTTGTGGAGCGCAACAGTGAATGGCTGACTAGGGTTTTTGTTTTAAGACTCTCTAGATTTACTTTGTCACCTTTATAGTAAAATCCTTTCCCCCTCCAAGAACATACAACTGAGTAGTCTTGTTGATAGTGTTACAATTTCCCACTAAAAACCAGGAAGTGCCATGATGTTCACTGCTTTGACTCACATTCAAGCATTAATTAACACAAGCAGTGGAAAGATCTTGTTATCAGTATTTAAATTCATGACATTTACATGAAGTTGGGGCAATTTCCAAAGAATCCATCCCCACTCCCAATTCTGGTCTGTTCCAAGGTCCTTGGCTGGACACACACTGTTATTGTTAGCTGCCATCGAGTTGGCCCCCGACTCCCGGCGACCCCATGCACAATGGAACAAAACACTGCCCTGTCCTGCCCCATCCCTATGATCGGTTGCAGACCAGACTGTTGTGATCCATAGGGGTTTCACTGAGTGATTTTTGCAAGATTGCCAGGCTTTTCTTCCTAGTCTTAGTCTGGAAGCTCTGCTGAATCCTGTTCAGCATCATAAGCAACACACAAGCCACCAATGACAGACAGGTGGTGGCTGTGGGTGAGGTGCATTGGCTGGGAATCAAACCTGCGTCTCCCGCACGGAAGGCAAGAATTCTACCACTGAACCACCAGTGCCCTCAGCAGACAGACAATACCCTAGGTATAATGCAGCCCACCATCCCATGTCCTTTAAGTACCGCTATACTTTTTTCACACAAAATAGAAAACAGTGTCTGATTCTCCACAGAAGCACCTGAAAGAAAATGAATACATAAATGGTTACTTTCCTAACATGGAATATGTTTGTGCAGTGGGTACACATAAGTATTTCATTTCTCCTAGGATAAATACTAATAGCTGTGTACCGGGCACTATGCCAAGTTCTGTACATACGTTTCTCATTTAACCTTCGAGTTCCTATGAGGCTGGTACTTGTAACAAAGAGGATAACTGGGTTACACTGAGGTAACAACTCCATCTTGGTGGTTTAAAAAACAGGTTTAATTTTTGCTTTTGCAAAGTTCACTGTGATCCCGGGCAATTGTCCATGACAGCTATGGTAGCTCAGCAGTGCATCAGCTTATCTACCCATATCCATCGGAGAGTCAAGGAAGGCATTCAAAGGCTGCTCTCGAAAATGATTCTTGTCACCCATGCTCACACTCATTGATTAAAGCAAGTCACATGGCCACATCTGACTTCAAGGGGCAGAGCAGTGTAATCCTACTGTTGCTCAGAGGGTGTGTGCTGAAACACTGATTAGCAGCCCTCTCGTTTACCACAGTACTGTTTCCCCATTTTACAGCTAGGGAGCTAAGAAGGTAACTTATGCCCAAAGCTATAGAACCCATAAAGTAAGTGCCTATATAATTGATTATTCAGACTAGGACATCTTTGCCAGTGAAAGGGGGCACCTTCCTAAATCCTGGGCAAGCTGCTCTGCCCACTTTAGAATTTACAAAGAGCCACTGTGGCCCTCCTCTGGCTGTGCTCCTCCCCATGGGTTGGGGAGCCCATGGGCTAAAGGGTTTTGCCCACTCAGATTACACTCGAAGTCCCCAAAGCACCCCAGAATTCCCTGCTCAAATGACACCAAGCCTCTCCCACAGCCTATGTGGGCGGGGGGCGGGGGGGGAACCTCC